TAAATCTTTGTAAACATAATAATAAAAGGCAGGAACTTAAAGCCTTTTAGATTTTAACCATTTAAATATTAAATCCTGGAAATAAACAAACCTAAATTTTTTTCTTATAGGATTTGATCTTAGATCTTTTGGAATATATTAAAATATAGAATAAAATTCTCCCTGATTCTGTTTAAACTTTAACTGGTCTTGGCAGGACAATGGAGAGGAAGGGAGAAAAAGATATGGGATGGGCTGGGAGGGTTTTGAAAGGTGGAGGCAAATCCATCTGGGATTGCTGCCTCCCTTGACAGCGCCATCTTATTATAAGGAGAGTTGAAATGTAATGGAAGGGAAAAGAGCATGGAAAAGATCTGGCCAGGATACTACAGTCGAATATGCTTTATAAGTGACAATACAATGCATTCATCACAAGTAGTAGACCATTGACACCTAGTACATTAGAATGTCTAGGTGGGATCTTTTTATTCCTCATGCATATTCATCTCTTCAAGTCGTTTTTGTTTTCTTTTGTTTTGCTTTCCCCATATTCTCTGGGAAATAGTAAATTTCATAAGTAATATTCTGTAGACTATTTTTTATAGGAAAACTTTCCTGGAAGTTCTCATTAGAAAGAGAAGGCAAGCATTAGTAATGTCTCTACAAGGACAGAGGGCTCAGGGCAATTTAATGGTTTCTCCTGAATGTACTTTTGGGGCTGGAGACAGATATAGGAAGCAGTGTAGTTGCTAGGTTAGAAGTTGTGTACATTTGGAATTTTAATAGATGTTGCATAACTGCCCTCCATAGATATGATACCCATTTGTAGACCCACAATAATGTCAGTATTCCTCTCCTATCAACACTCTATGACTGTGTTGTAACTACCAATTTGTACTTCTTAATCCCGTATTCTTTTTCACCCCCAACCCACTACCCATTTGACAGCCATAAAAATGTTCTCTGTATCCGAGGTTGTTTCTGTTTTGTTTATTTTGTTCTTTAGATCCTATTTGTAAGTGAAGTCATTAGGCATTTGTCTTCTCTGACATACTCCAATCAACAGTGCCTTCTAGGTCCATCCACATTGTTGCAGATGGCAAGATTTCATTCTTTTATGTGGTTAAGTAATATGCATTGTATATATGTACCATTTCATCTTTAGCCATTCATCCATTAATGGATACCAGGTTGCCTCCATGTCTTGGCTATTGTAAATAATGCTGCAGTGAACATATGGATTCACATGTCCCTTCAATGTAGGAGTGTTTTGGGTTTCTTTGGATAAATACCCAGAAGTCAAATTATTGAGTCCTTCTTTGTCTCTTGTTATATATAGCCTTTGTTTTGTTTGTTTGTTTGTTTTGCAAGGCAACCCTTGGTTGACCTCACAGATTGCAAAAACCTTGTCATCTTACAATCCTTTATTTTTTATTTTTTACGCCTACAGCACCTGGTTTACTAGGTGGTCTCCCATCCAAGTACTAACCAAGCCCGACCCTGCATTGCTTCCGAGATCAGATGGGATGGGGCTTGTTCAGTAGTCTTTGTTTTAAAGTCTGTTTCATCTGGTATAAGTATTGCTACCCTAGCTTTTTGTTGTTTTCATGAAATATCTATTTTCATCTCTTTACTTTCAGTCTGTGTGTGTCTTTTGATCTGAAGTGAGTCTCTGTAGGTACCATATGTAAGGATCTTATTTTCTAAGCCATCCTATGTCTTTTGGTTGGAGCATTTAATCCATTTACATTCAAAAAGCTGTCCTGTAGGACTAGGGCCAGACAAAAGGAGGGCTTAGCTGCCTAGCTGGAAGGAAAGGCTGGGAGGCCAGTGCCACTTCCAAGGTCAGGAGTGGGTGCTGTCTCCCTGCGGGCCTGGTTGTAGCTCTCGGGTTGGTGTTGATGAACTCTAGCTTTTTCTTGTCTGAAAGCTCTTATCTCTCTTTTGATTCTAAATGATAGCTTTGCTAGATACAGCAATCTTGGTTGTAGGTCCTTGCTTTTCATCACTTTGAATATTTCCTGCCAATCCCTTCTAGCCTATAAAGTTTCTGCTGAGAAATCAGCTGACAGCCTTATGGGAGCTCTCTTGTAGGTAACTAATGCTTTCTCTTGCTGCTTTTAAGATTCTCTCTTTGTCTTTAACCTTTGGCATTTTAATTTTAATGTGTCTTGGTATGGGCCTCTTTGAGGTAATCTTATTTGGGGCTCCCTGTGCTTCCTGGGCTTGTGTGTCTATTTCCTTTATCAGGTTAGGGAAGTTTTCTGTCATTATTTCTTCATAAAGGTTTTCAATTCCTTGCACTCTCTCTTCTCCTGGTATTGCTATGATGTGAATGTTGGTATGCTTGATGTTGTTCCTTAAACAATCCTCATTTAAAAAAAATTTTTTCTTGTTGCCGTTCTGAATGGTTTTTTTGCTATTTTATCTTCTAAATCGCTAATTCAGTCCTGTGCTGCATTTAATCTGTTGATTCCTTCTAATGTAATCTTCATTTTACTTATTGTATTCTTCACTTCTGACTGGTTCTTTATGTTTTATATCTCCATTTTTATGTTTTCTATCTTTGTTAAAATTCTCGAGTTTATCTACTCTTCCCCTAAGTTCATCGAACATCCTTAGAACCAGTTTTTTGAACTCTGCATCTGGTTGATTGCTTGTCTCCATTTTGTTTAGTTCTTTTATCTGAGACATGTTTGTTTATCTCAGTATTGTGGCTGCCTCCCTATGCATATGTTTCTGTAAATTAGGTAGGGCTGCTATGTTTCCCAATTTTAGAAGAGTGGTCTAATGTAGTTGGTGTCCTGTGGGGTGAACCAGTGTTCTCTAGTCACCTGAGCTGGTACTCCAAGTATGTCCCTTGTATGCGCTGTGTGTGCTCTTCTGTTGTAGTTGAGCCTTGGTTGCTATTTACATGTCAGTGGAGGGATTGACACTTGGGCTGATTGGTTGTGAGGACTGGCCAGTGAGGGGCTTGTCCTATGGTGCAGGATTTGCTTTAGCAGGACTGTGGTGCCTGTCCAGTCCACCCTTTGGGCATGTTGTTCTTAGATGCAGCCCTGGGTGGTGCTCCAGCTCAGTCAGAAGCTGGCCACCAGATTTGCCAGCCCCAGGGACTCCTGGGAATGGCCCCACCACAGGCCAACTTCATTCATAGCCTGTGCCCTACCTGAGGCCACCTAGCAAGATTTACCTAGCAATCTGCAGTTGGCTGCCACTCGTGCTGGGCTTAGAGGAGCCTTAAGAGGCCTAGCTACGAACCAAGGCTGGCTGCTACTAGTCCTGGGCTTAGGGCTGCTCAGGGGCATGCTGAGGACATATGCTACTTTTTTGGGTTTTGTGAACCTTTGAGAGATTTTAAGAAAGTCCACAGCATGAGCCAAGATAGACCATTTATGTGAAAAAGCCACTGGAAGCGGCTTGAGTGGGACCGCAAGTTGGGTGGGGCAGGGTCTCAGGGAATCTCCAGGGTGGGGCAATGGTGTTAACCAGGTTGATGGAGACTCAAATATGGTGGCAGCTTGCATCTATATGCTGGGTAAGGGGAAGGCTCAACAAAGAGGCAGTGGATTCTTTCAGTACTTCTGTCTGGGAGAAAACTGCCCCTCTAGCCCTCGCCTTGAAGCCAGACAACCCAGTTTCTCTTTGTTTCTGTCTGGTAATATTCAGGCAGCTGCCTCAGTGCTGGAGCTCAGAGTAGGTGAGTCCATCAGTGAGTAAGCCTTCGTGTGGGTCCCTTAAGAGGACTGTCTGTGACTTTAGCTGCCTTCCATCTTACTCAGCCACCATCTCTAGTGGTTTTCATGGATAAAAGTTTTGGGAATTTCTTTTCCCATCACTGGAGCTCTGGCCTGGGGAGCCTGATGTGGGACTGGACCCTTAGCTCCCCCAGGGGGACCTTCGCAGCTGAGATATCCTTCTTGATTCCCAACTATCACAGGTGGGTATGGGGACCAGCTGGTTTTATGTCTCCACCTCTCCTACCAGTCTTGAGATGGCCTCTTCTGTATGTCCCCAATTGTAGGACTTATGTTCACTTAGATTTCAGGTGACTCCCAATAATAGTTGTTCTATAGTTTAGTTGTAATTTTGATGTGTTATGTGAGAGGAAGCAAGCACAGTGTTTACCTACTCTGCCATTTTGACCAGAACTCAAGAAAGTTAATTGTTAAGGGCCTCTGTTGTACTCTGAATTCTAGTATTTTTCCAAGTGTGGCTCTCTGACAATTTGTACACAATCTCTTGGATGCCTGTTAGAAATGCAGATTCTTAGCCTCCCTTCCTCTGTAGACTTCTAGAATCAGGATCTCTGGGGAGGAACATGCATTTTCAGCAAGCAGTCCTAGGAGTACATTAAAGTTTGAAACCAGTTATTCCTTAACTAGTTCCTTATTTCTTTTCCTTCTTTCTCTTGTTTTCTCTTATCTTCCCTTTTTCCTTCCTCATACCTTCTAACTAATGCTCACCTGTTTTTTACCCCTTCCTCCTCCTTAATGCTACTGGTTCAGAATAGCCAGATGAACTGTTCTTTTAACATAATAAATTTAGGTTCTCTGGAAACTCAGCTAGGACATTAAAAAAAGTATGTATTTCTTACTGCCTTGTTTGTCCCCATAAAACAAAGATAGATACAAAGTTATCTTCTCTGATACCAGTTAGTCTTCCAGTAAAGGGATTTGAACTTGGGCTTTGGAAATGTCCTCCTTTAGAGAAACATCAATAGTGTGATGTCTTCCAGCACATTTAGTCTTCAGTAAAGGGATTTGAACTTGGGCTTTGGAAATGTCCTCCTTTAGAGAAACATCAATAGTGTGATGTCATGGGGAGTCAGTGACCACCAGACTCAGAATCATACACTAACCTGGGTACCTTCACTGGAAGGCACAAGGTGGTATAGGCATTTGGGGTCAATAGGACAGGATATAGTGGGAGAGAAAGTAGAGGTGGTAAAGGGGAGTTTCGACATGGAGTTCAGAGTAGGTGTCACTGGGGTTCTGAACCTCTGCTTTTTGTCTTCACAGCTACTGGAGGAAAAGACCAAGATGAATGTTGAGGTGAGTTCTTTAAAAGCATCAGTTTAAGGAATGCTTTTCTTTTACTGTTCTTCATTTCTCTTTCACAGAGTGTCTTCTCTCCCTACAGAGCTTTCAGAAACATTTCAACACCAACTTGAAAACATTTCCCCTCCCACTTGCCAATGTTCACATGGATTTGGGTGCTATGAGAAGTAGGCCCCTCTGAGTTCTTATCTGTGTCTGTCCTGCTTCAGTTAGATTCGATTTCGTTGGTGGTAATCAGTTGGTTCAGATTTTCTGTTTATTCTTGACTCAGTCTTGGGAGATTGTATGTTTCTAGGAATGTATTAATTTCTTCTAGATTGTCCAATTTGTTGACGTCTAATCGCTTGTATTATTTTCTTACAATCCATTATATTTCTGTGGAGTCTGTAGTTGCTTCTTCTCTTTCATTTCTGATTTTATTTATTTGGGTCCTCTCTTTTTTTTCTTAACTAGTGTAGTTAAAGTTTTATTAATTTTGTTTATCTTTTCAGAGTACAAGCTCTTGGTTTCATTGATCTTTTGTATTGTTTTTCTCAACTCTAATTTCATTTATTTCCACTGTGATCTTGATTATTTCCTTCCCTCTAATCACTTTGGGTTTTATTTGTTATTCTTTTTCTAGTTCTTTTAAGTGTAAGATTAGATTGTTTATTTAAGGTAAGACTGTATTGCTATGACTTTCCCTCTTAGAACTTCTTTTGCTGTGTCCCACAGTTTGAGTCTTTGTGTTTGTATTTTTGTTTGTCTCTCAGTATCTTTTGATTTCTTCCTTGATTTCATTGTTAACCCATTTATTGTTTAGCAGCATGTTCGGCCTTCATGTGTTTGATGTTTTCACATTTTTTTCTCGTAGTTGATTTCTAGTTTCATACCATCGTGGTCAGAGAAGACACTTGATATGATTTCAGTCTTCTTAAATTTATTGAGATTCTTTCGTAGTCTTACATGTGGTCTATCCTGGAAAATGTTCCATGTGCACTTGAGAAGAATGTATATCCCGCTGCTTTGGGGTGAAATGTTCTGAAAACATCAATTAAATCCATCTGATCTAATATGTCGTTTAAGGCTGTTGTTTCCTTATTGATTTTCTGTCTGAAAGATCTGTCTGTTGGTGTGAATGGAGTGTTAAAGTCTGATACTTTGTATTACTGTCAATCTCTCCCTTTATGTTGGTCAATAATTGCTTTATATATGTAGGTGCTCCTGTGTTGGGCGTGTATGTTTACTAGGATTATATCCTCTTGTATTGATCCCTTTATCATTATGTAATGCCCTTCTTTGTCTCTTATAGTTTTTGTCTAAAGTCTATTTGGTCTGATATAAGTATTGCTACCCCAGGTTTTTTTTTTTTTTTTAATTTTCTTTTGCATGAAATATCTTTTTCCATCTTTTTACTTTTAGTCTGTGTATGTCATTTGATTTGAGGCAGGTCTTGTAGACAGTATATGTATGGGCCTTGTTTTCTTATCCATTCAGCTAACGTATGTCTTTAGATTGGAGCATTTATTCCATTTACATTTAAAGTGATTATTGATAGGTACATAGTTATTTCATTTTATTATTGGTATTAAGAGGTGTTTTTCCCCCATTCTTTTTATAGAACTCCCTTTAACATTTCTTTTAATTCTAGTTTGTTGGTAATAAATTTCTTAAGCTTTTTCCTGCCTCGGAAGCTCTTTATCTCACCTTTAATTTTAATTGATAGCCTTGCTGGGTAGAGTAGTCTTGCTTGTAGGTTCAAGATTTTTATCACTTTGAATATTTCATGCCAATTTATTTTGGCCATCAAAGTTTCTGTTGAAAAGTCAGCTCACATTCTTATGGGAGTTACACTTGTAACTGGCTGCCTTTCTCTTGTTGCTTTTAGGATTTTCTTTATGTCTCCAGCCTTTGGCATTTTAATCATGATGGGTCTTGGTGTGGATCTGTTTGGGTTCCTCTTGTTTGGGACTCTTTGCTCTTCCTGGATGTGTATGTCTGTTTCCTTTGCCAGGTTAGGGAAGTTTTCTGTCATTATTTTTTCAAATAGGTTCTCAATCCCTTCCTCCCTCTTTTCTTCTTCTGGTACCCTATTATGTGGATGTTGGTATGTTTGATGTTGTCCAAGATGTCTCTTAAACATTCCTCATTTTTTAAATTCTTTTTTCTTTTTGCTATTCTGTTTGGGTGTTTTCTGCTGCCTTGTCTTCCAACCTTCCCTCTGATTTGGTCCTCTGCTTCATCTAATCTGCTGTTGATTTTTTCCAGTGTAGTCTTCATTTTGGTTATTGTATTCTTATATTCTGACTGGTTCTTCTTTATGGTTTCTGTGCCTGTTTTTATACTTATTGTCTTTTTGTTGAAGTCCTCACTGAGATCATCTATTCTTTAACTGAGTTCATTGAGCATCCTTATAACCATTGTTTTGAACTCTGCCTTTGGTAGGTTGCGTGCCTCCATTTCATATGTTTTTTTTATTTTTTTTTTTCCTGGAGTTTTCTGCTGTTGTTTCATTTGTAGTATGTTTCTTTATTTTCTCATTTTAGTTGCCTCTCTGAGTTCGTTTCTGTATATTAGGAAGATTTGTTATGCCTCCCAACCTTGCTTGTCTCCATTTTGTTTAGTTCTTTTCCTGGAGCTTTGTTCTGTTCTTTGACTTGGAAATGCTTTTCGTATTCCCATTTTGGTTACTTTCTTGTGTTTGTTTCTATGTATTAGGTAAGGTTGCTATGTCTTCTGGTCTTAGGAGAGCTGCTTTATGTACTAGGTGTCCTGTGTGGCCCAGTGGTGCAGTCTCCTTGATCACCTGTGCCGGGGGCTCTGGACCTGGTCCTTGAGTGGTTGTGTGTTCCCTTGTTGTAGCTAAGCCTTGATTGCTGTTAGCACATCAGTGGATGGGATTAACTCTCAGGCTGACTGGCTGTGGAGATTGGCCACTCCCACAGGGTATGGTGCTCTGTTGTGGTCTGATGCCAGACTTTGGATGTGTTGGTTTAGTGGCCCCTTGGGAGGGGCTCCCATGTAGACCAAGTCCAGGCGCTGCCTTTGATTGCTTATGGCTATCTGGTAGGAGCTACAAAGCAATCCGCAGATGGTTGCTGCCTACGCTGGATCTGGAGGCAAGTGGGAGAAACCACAGTGTAAGGCGAGGTCAGTTACCCCCAGTACTGGGCCTGGGATGGCTTAGTAAATGGACCAGTGCATCTCAAGGCCTGGGCCTGCCTGCCAGCTGCCTGTATAACTCCACAGCTTTAAAAGTCTTTGAGTGGTATGTGAATTGGGGTGGGGGAAGAGACCTAGGGAGTCACTGGGGTGAAGTGAACAAATTTCACCCAGCCAATGCAGAGTCAGGGTTCATGCCAGTGCTGAATCTGTGCCTTTCCATAAAAGTCTCAGATCACAGCAAAGTAAACCGCTGTCCTCTTTAGGCCTTCAGACCCTTGTGATCTGTCTAAAAGATATTGCAGCTTGGGTTGGCACCAGTGGCTTGCCACCAGAAGTATCCCCTGAAATGTGTAGTCTGCTGTGTGGGCCATGTGAGCCAAGGGCTGCTGCCTACCAATAAATATGCTGCCCAGGGAAGCTGTGGGTTGGGGCTGGCTGCCCAGAAACAGGCTGCTGTGGTCAACTTGTGGGCTGGGTGGGTCAGGGCCCCAGTGAGACACAGAGTGGAGTGAGCTGATGCTGATCTCACTCAGCTAGTGCAGCTTCATAATTGCCTGTGGGATGGGGAGGAGAGTTCAACACAAGCAATGTGGCACCCACCTATAGACTGCCTGGAGGGGTTCCCAACAGAGGGGCAACAGCAGCTGTCCCTCCAGTCCTTGCCCCGGTGCCTCATGACTCAGTATTTTCTTGTGTGTCTCTTGCGCCTCCCAGGCTGCTGACCCTCTGCCAGAGCCCAGGGTGAGTGTCTACAAGTGAGTGAGTCTGTACACAGTCCCTTTAATGAGACATCTGGGTTTTCAGTTTTTTTCCATCTCACTAGATGGCCAGAGTCCTCTTTGATTTTTATAGTCATATTTTGTGGGAACTCCTCTTTCTGGGCTGGGGAGCCCTTGTGTGGGGCCAGGGCCTCTCGTTCCTTCAAGGGAGCCTCCACAGTTACACTCTCCTTCTCGCTGCTCAAACACCATGCACAGGTGTGGAACCAGCCTCCTTCATGTCTTTGCCTCTCCTACCGGACTCGATGTGGCTTTTTCTTTATATCCTCAGATGTACATGTTATGATCAGCTAGACTTCAGGTGATTCTCCAAGTTGTTTGTTCATCATTAAAAGAGATGAACTTGCTTTTACATTGCCCACTGTCTTGACTGGAACCTAACTTTTCAATACCGCAAGTCATTCTTAACCTTCCTCAGTCTGGCTTTGGCCCATAATGAAATTGATGTTAAATAATTTTTTAAAATTTATTTTTGTAATAATGCAAATACACATACCTAGAACAAAACTTAAAAAGTGCAAAATGGGAAACAATCAAAAGTAAGTCTTCCTATTACCTTATCCCCCTAGCCTTCTCTTCATGGAGCTGACTTCTTTCAACTACTTTTTGGTGGCTCTGACTTTTTATCTGAAGGCCCCTATTAATCACCCAAATACTCATGTCTTATAAGTTCTGAAGAAAGAATAGAAACTTTGCTTACACAGCCTGGCCCGGTAACAGTTCCGCCAGTCATCAATTACCTCTTCTGTCCTATAATTTCAACCTTCTTTCTTTGATGGCTTTTTCATCTCAACCTTTTAAAAACATTCCCAGACGTTGGATCCCCTTCTAACTATTCCCCCTTCTCTTTTACCTTAAACATTCATCTTTCCATGTCTGTGACCATGTTCTCACTTCTCTTTTACATCTGATCCCACTACGATCTGACTTGCTTCTCATTGTTGCACTAAAACTTCTCAGGTAAAGGTCACTAGTGGTCTTCATATTGCCAAATTGGGTGGAAACCTTTTCCTTGAAGCATTTGACACACTGCCCATGTTCTTTAAATGTCTCCATGACACCCCAGGGTTT